ACCAGCTCAAAAAATTATCAGGCTGAACCTAGATTCCTATGAACCTTAGTAACAACAAAGACAAATTTGCTTCTGTAGACAATCACCAGCATAAGGCTTCTGAGCTGAGAAAACAGATGTCTTTGATTAGGCCAAACTCTGAAAATCAATTACTTATTAAAAGTAATTGATGAAAGCTCCCTCATTACTTCCACATCAGTGGGCACTGTGAGCGGAATGTACTTTTATCACATCCCGGCAAGATATCAAAATGTTTCCTACAAAATCAACGTTTTGTATGTTTATGATTGAAATACGTTGAATGAGAAAACAAGAAAGTAATGTATGCCATTACTTTTAACACTAGTATTACAGATAAAGAAAAAACACAGCTAAATCAGTTACATTACAGTTTCTCCTTTGCATACTTAACTGCATACATGTATAAATCATGTTTAGATCTCCATATATGTATTTTTTCATCATGTTTATTAAAATGGAAGAAAAATTAATCTCCAAAGGCAACTGGGTGAAGGAAGGCATGTGTCCCTGACTTAAACATTTAAATAAAGCAGAGCAGCATTCACTTATATCAAGGCTGCTTAAATACTGACATTTGAGCTAGTTAATTCTTTGTTGTGGAGGCTGTCCTATGCATTGCAGGGTATTTAGTAGCATCCCTGGTCTAGCATCCCACTAAATGCCAGTAGCACCCCACAGGCATGACAATTAAAAATAGCTCCAGACATCACCAAATGTCCAAATGGGCAAAACTGCCCCAATTGAGCACCATTAATTTATAGACATGGGTTCAAGACTCAATTAAGTTTCTCAAAATACTAATATTTAAAAAGGTATTTGTGTACCTGCACAAGTAAATTGTTTCTACTTCCCAATCTAGTTCTAATAACGAATAAGATCTAAAATGAATGAGAAGCCATATGTACGAATGTGCAGTGTGTTAAAAACATATTTTCTTCCTTAGACATGGAACCCGCATCAACCGGAGGCATTCATGAAAGGAAAACCTACTTCTTACAGAAGACGGAATCAGCCACACCCACTGGGATGGCTGAGGGATGATGAGGTGCTTGGCACAATCAAGTTAAGAAGCAACAAATTCAACACTAGACACCTAATCTATAGGTGATCAATCAACCGAGCTTTCGTTCTACCCAGCAAAGCTTCAAAACGAAAATCGAAAGCACGGTGTCTGACACCCTCCTCTTTATTTTAAAGATGATAATGCCACCGTTTCTTCACAGTCACCACTGGGTCTTGTCTACTAAACCATGTAAAATAGACCTAGTAAGAAAACTATGAAAAGGGAACTGAAGCAAGACAGATGGCTTAGTTTAAGGGAAGAGAACCTTGTAAATCCAGTTTAGGAGGGTCCTAAGAAGACAATAACAAAAGTACATAAAGGAAAGGTCACATGAGTGCAGTAACAAAGACACATGGGAAACAGACACACTTTAAGATAAGTGGTGTTCAGGGTGGGGGACATGGCATGAGGGGAGTCACACACAAACGTGCGAAGTGAAAGGAGAGCCAGAAGAATACAAAGAAAGAAGGGAAATGGCTGGAAAGAAAAAAATCTGTTTTTATAACCATCATTCTAGATTCTGCTACCAAGTTTGTTTTTTTTTTACGTCACTTAATGAAAGTTCACTCTTCACCTATATTAAATTTCCCCAAAACTGTCTCTAAGGTAACACAGTGAATCCTTTGTTATTTAAAAATACTCAAGCAGCTTGTGGTTTTTATGTCAATGTCTCCAAGCTGGCTTCCATCATGCAAAACAGTTAAAAAAAAAAAAAAAAAGAGGAGAGAAGGGGACTGTTTTATTACCAACGCAGCCCCCCACCCCCACCCCAGACACACACAAACAGGGATACAAGCCTTTAAAGTGATTGTCCTTAAAATGAAGACAGCTGACGAGAGAGAAAGCGTGAAAGAGACAGCAACTGCTCTTCTCTCCGGCAGCCAGGCTCATAAGTGACATAATTAAAATATTTGTTGACTTGCAGACATCCTTAAATACTTAGCCAAAGTTCTTAAGATATTAAATGGAGACACAACCTTTAAGGAAAATCGAAGGAGGCATTGATGGACTTTGTCCTCTAAGATGGGCATGCGCATCTTTTTAGCCATTCCCCTGTGATCTCGCCACCATCTAACTTACTTTTCACTTCCTGGCTGCCCCCACCATTGCTGGGAAATTAAGCACGTTTGCCACTACACATCCTGGAACCTGCTACGTATAGAAGTGGCCACATGAGAGGCAGTGTGATTGCAAATCTAAACCTGTGAGTTGAAAGAAACTGTCCAAGCTGCCGCCCCTCTGAAACTTGGAATATGCAGGAGCTTCTCCAAACAGAGACGCCAGACTCAGTCTATCTCAGTCCCTTCTGCTCCAGAGAGGGCTGCTCAACCCTCTGATGGCCTCCAACAGCCCTCTCAACACAAAAGGGCTGGCTCAAGAGGCTGGCTCAGACAACTCGCTTGGAAGGGCAGCCAGTGTTAGAGTTCCCATCAGGACCTGTAGCAGCAGTCTCCCAAGAATCCACACTTGGACTTGACCTGGCCTCTCTCACAACCTCAGAAGCAGATTCCAAAGCCACCTTGGAATTCTTCAAGACCTTCCCAGATGTCATACAAGCACAAAGGTAAAGGATTTGGTTTGTCCAGTTACAAGGTTTTCATCAAGAATCTAATTGCCTATCTTCACTTCAACAATAGCAACTCATTAAAGAAAAACAGCAGCAGCAAAAATGGCCTCGTGCAAGCTATTCCAACAGCATAGAGGTCCAGGGCCATTTGGAAGAGTGAGAAGACACACACTCCTGTTTCCTCAGCCCCCAATGTGGAGGAGACAAGGGTGGGGACCCACCACACAGCTCCTGATGAAGAGGCACATTACACAGGCATTGTTGATGGCACCTGCATGGCCGCTTGAGCTAATACACTGTGACTGCAACAGAAAATACTCCCTTTCTCCCAGTGGCACTGCAGTTCCCTCCAACAGTGGTTCTCCCCAGGAGATGATGGTGCTTCCTGCCGATTTGGAGACTTGGGCAGGTGGGGCACCACCAGCCTACGGAACACAGCAAGGGGGTTGGGTGAGAGGAACGGCCAAGCCAATGGTGTCCACTGATGACGGTCCAAGGCTTCCCCTCCTCCAAGGTATCAGTTACTCGTTATATCCTTCCAAAGTCCAGGGGCTTCCCCAACCACTTGGCTGATAAGGGCTTCCCAGAATGAAGCTGTATCCAAGCTCCACTCCTTATTAATGATTTTCTATCAATGTTTCTCAAATCTTACACCATAATAAAGGTTTATGGTTCTGTTTTATGTATTTTCAGATACATCTTAATGAAGGGATGGCGGCCAGCTTGGTCAGAGTCTAGCTGTGGAACCTCAGACATGGCAGCCCTTCCCTTAGCCACGAAGGTACAAACAGAAAGTTTTTTTTTTACAAACACGCTCTGTTAGTGAGGACCCAATGAGTTATTATGTGTAAATAAAGTGCTTAGAACAGTGATTAGTGTGTGTGTGTGTGTGTGTGTGTGTGTGTGTCCGTGTGAGGGAAGAAGCTAATGTTCACTTTAAAAATATATGATTTTAGATTGTACTTAATATGTATCAGAAATATGTTGAATACTACAGATGACTAGATAAAGAAAACAGACTACTATTCAGCCATAAAAAAAGAATGAAATAGTGTCTTTTGCAGCAACACAGACAGAACTGGAGGCCATTACCCAGATGGAACCAGTGACCTGAAGGGTGATGGGATGGGAAGGGATTACTCAATGGCTACAATGTATGTTACTTGAGTGACTAATACAATAAAAGCCCTGACTTCACCACTAGGCAATCTATGTAACAAAATAACACTTGTACCCCATAACTGTACACAATTTTTTTTTTGCCTTTCCTGAGGTGCTGAACAAAGTCTTTAAAAAGAAATGTGTTGAACACTGACATACAAAAATGTTATTTTACACTGGTAATTTAACTTCTAGAATTCAAAGCACATTTTAAAATAATTATAAAATGAACAAGGTATTTTGATGACACATTCAGTTTTAACTGAATCTGATTTTAGTGCCCTAAAACATCATGCACTGAGTGCATGAAGTAGGACATTATTCCTTATATTTAAAAAGGTTACACCTTTCCCAATAAAGCACAATAATAATTACCATTATAATTATTCTACATTGTTTCCACTTTGTCTCTTTAGCTATCTCAATTTTGGAAAACAGACAGCAAATGCAGCATAAATCATGAAAAGTGTATAGACTCACACTCTGCAACAAGGCTAGTGCCACATGTGGCTACCAGCCACTCAAAATGCAGTAAGAGGGAGCCAAGAGGTGCAGTAAATGTATACACTATATGCTGTATTTCAAAGCCCTCACACAAATAAAAGAATGTGAATTATCGTATTAATTACAATTTATATTGATTGCATATAGGAAGAGTTTATATATATCGGGCAAAAGAAAATATATGATGAAAATTAGTAACACTTGTTTCATTTTACATTTTTAATGTGGCTACCAGAACATTATGACTACATGGGTCACACTGTATTTCAAGGGGTCAGCACTGCTTGACAACCCATCAGTTCAAATGACATTTGAAGGAAGACGGTCCGCATTAAAACACACATATGCACCATTTTCTGTACTTAGTCTTCCCTCCTCCCGTGACAGAGAGCCAGGCCCATGCTCAGTTCTATGCAAAGCTGTAGTGGGGAAGCCCTGCCATTACTGCACAGGAGAACCCTTCACCAGCCGCAATGCAGAGGTCTTTAAAAACAAACTGATTATAAACTTAGTTTTGTTATCACAATTAGCAAACTGTCAGTGGGCGGGCACAGATGACTTGTAGCTCAGTATGTGTGTATGTGGAGAAGGGGATATTTAGATGCTGGGAGAAACAGAGAAGCAGCACAGTTGTGCATGCCCATGCCTGCCATGCTGGGAACTTGAGACACTGACCTGAGGGCGATGGAGAGCAGGTCGTGGCCAGACTGTGAAGGTGCAGTCACCTGGGGACAGATTGGCAGGAATGGTTTTGATGTCCAAGGGAAAGAGAAAAAGGACAGCAGGGCTGAGATGTTAGATCTTTTGGAGGTAGAATCAATAGGAGTTGATAACTAGTTGAGAGGTGAGGGAGAATTCAAGGATGACCCAGTGATTCGGTGATGGGGAAAATAACTGAGAAGGCAGGCAGGTTGGAGGAGATGCTACAAATGGTTTGGGATGGTGGAAATGACCAGTAAGAACTTGGATAATTCAAATGAATGAATGAATGAGTGAACAAATGTATGAACTAACCAAGGAACAACATGCATGAATGAACATACAGAGCGGGAGCTAGAGGGAGGTCAGTCATGCAGGCTTACGTCTGCCCCTGCCTTATATCTGAACAAGGCAAACTGGCCTAGGTCAGAAACATTCCAGCCATGCTCGGGGTGTACCTCACCACCATCATGCACATTCTGCTAAGGGATTTTTGCTCATGTGGCAAAGACTACACAATCACAGAGATGGCAGGCTCAGAGGGGACAGCCTCTCCACCCTGGCTGCCACTGGCCCCACTTCTTGCTTTGCTCTCTTCGTCCAGGGTTCAGAAACGACTTTCCTTCGCATATCACTGATATTTTATCATGGTCTCAAGCAGACACAAACCAACCCCCAAATAAGCGTCTCCCTACCTATGTAGAAGAGAAGCTTCCATAAATGAAATCAAGTCAAGATTTTTCTCTCTCTTCACTCAAAACTTTTCCAGCCTTTGGAAGGCCAGCACCTGTTCCCTGTCATGGGGTGCTACAACCAACATGTAAAGAGTTGACATTCCCTCCTTACTTGTGACTACTCCAACCATCCCCTGGTAGGTGTCGCCAAATAAACACAGATCCCAGATCAGGATAATGGTAGCACCAGGTCTTCCTGAAAGCACTAGCCCTGTTGTAGAACCTAGTCAGACACACTGGGAAGGGCTGCATTGTCCCCCCTAAATTTGTATGCTGAAGCCCTAACCCCTAAGTGACTATCTTAGGAGACAGGACACTTTGGGAGGCAATTAAGGTTAAAAAAAGGTCATAAGGGTGGGGCTGTGATCCAACAGGACAGATGTCCTTATAGGAGGAGACACCACCAGACCTCTCTCTCCCCACGCATTCACAGAAGGAAGTCTACATGAGGACATAATAAGGCGAGCCAGGAAGAGATCCTCACCAGAAACCAGCCCTACTGGCCCCGGGATTATGGACTTCCAGCCTCCAGAACTGGGAGAAAATAAATATGTGCAGCTTCAGCCACCCATTATGTTGTTAGGTGTCTATTTCGTTTGTTTTTGAGATAGGGTCTCACATCGTCACCCAGGCTGGAGTACAGTGGCATGATCTCAGCTCATTGCAACTTCTGCCTCCTGGTTTCAAGCAATTCTTGTGCCTCAGCTTCCTGAGTAGCTGGGATTACAGGTGTGCACCACCATGCCTGGCTTTTTTTTTTTTCTTTCCTTTTTGTGTGTGTGTGTGTTTTTAGTAGAGACAGAGTCTCACCATGTTGGCCAGGCTGTTCTTGAACTCCTGATCTCAAATGATCCGTCCACCTTGGCCTTTTGAAGTGCTGGGATTACAGGTATGAGCCACTACACCTGGCCTCTATGTTTTATCTTACATCACTTGGAAATGACTAATACATGCACTAAAGAGGAATAAGCTCTCTCAACTTGAGGAGGCTTTACAGGGTAACCTCAGCCTGTAACCAGGAAGTGAGGACACGAGAGACTGACATTGCTCCTGCCGGCCTCCCCTCACACTGCTCAACCTCACAGTCAACTCACACCCAGAATCTGCTCCACCAATATCTGCACACAGCTGTGACATGGCAAAGGCAGACACCCGAGGACACTGTGTTCTAAAAACTGCCTCAAAAAAAAAAAAACACAACTGTACCCAGCAACGCGTTGGTGTTCCTCATGTGCTGCCTGCAGGACTGACTTACCCCTAAATTCAAGCTCTGTCATTCCCAGTCTCCTACCTAGAAACAAGGGCCAGAACCTAGGGTGCCATGTTATTCTGACTATTATGTATGATGGTGCATGTGCAGAGGACTTTGCAAACGATGAAGCAGCATGCAAGCACTAGTACATGTCATTCTTCTCTCACCATGGCGTTTTAGGTCTTCACTAACAAATGGGCAACATAAACACCTTGCCTTGCAAAACTGTCTCAAAAGAAACTGCAATACTTAAATTTGGAGTTCATTTGAAGCTTCTTTTCTTAAAAACATTACAAATACAATAGTGGAAAGAAGAGGGGACACAAATAACCAGGGCAGGATCACAAACACTCCACCCAGCGTTTCGAATTCAGGTTGATATGAACAGACTAACCTATAAAAGTAAACCATTCAACCAGCCCACCAGGTAACACAATTGGGTATGCATTTGGCTTTGTTTTTGTTGTTGTTGTTGTTTCTGCTCTTAAATGTAGCTTCAGCACTACAAATGACTCACTTGACAGAAAATTTACCAAATAAAGAGGGCAACAGACCAAATTCTCCCATTGCCTGGTCATCCTGAGGTCAAAGTCTTCCACAACAGAGGTTCTGAGCAGATTTACAAGAATGTCAGAGGTCTCTTAACACTCGCATCTCAGTGGGAGGCTAGAGCCCCAACACTGACAGGCTGGGAATTCAGTATTCACGTACATATTCAATAAGTATTCGTAGCACACCCATTGCGTATAAGCTGCGAGACCAGTCTACCCTCAAGGGGTTCAGAATCTATTAAAGAAAAGATGAATGCAAAAAAAAAAAAAAAAAACCCATATGGCAGGACATAGTGGCTCAAGCCTATAATCCCAGTATTTTGGATGTCAAGGCAGGAAGATCACTTGAGCCCAGGAGTTTGAGACCAGCCTTCTGTAGAGACCCTGTCTCTACAAAATAAAAATTAAAAATTCACTGGGCATGGTGGTACACACATGTAGTCCCAGCTACTTGGAGGCCCAGGTGGGATGACTGCTTGAACTGAGAACTTCAAGGAGGCAGAGAGCTGTGATTGTGCCACTGCACTCCAGCCTGGGTGACAGAGTGAGACCCCACCTTAAAAATATTAAAAAATTTTTAAAAACTGTAGGAAAGAAGGTCATAGACGACAAATCAGGTACACAAAGAATGTGCTGTGGCGGTTCAAAGATGAAGCCATCCCTGTAGCTGGGAGTTGATAAGATGTAGAGAAGAAAAGAAAGAAGAGATGACCCATGGGAAGAATAAGAACTCAGGACACTGAGGGGGCTGAGCCAAGGTGGAACACAGAGGCTGGGCAGGGAGAGTGATGCTGTGTGACATCACTGTGACACTGCTACCTCAATCAAAATCACTTTCATTTCCACAGTTTCAAGGACTGAGATTGTTGAGGTAGGAATGTATGTGCCAGCACACGTGTGTGCAGCTGTGTATCACTTGGCAGAGGTATTACTTGCTAACGTTCATTTACCTTCAGAAATAAACATACTTTGGGATATGCTCAAAGGAAAACGCAGGAAAAGAAAAAAAGAGTCTAAATTTAAACTAGTTTTGCTTTCACTGCATACTTTTACAACCAGTTAAAAGGCTGTCATGACCTTCTTCTGAGTTGCTTTAACTCACAGATGGAACACCACACATGAAATCATGTTTTAGCTTAGGCCCTTTGAAACGTGCCATGAAGTATTTCCATCACCCATTTTAGGAAAGAGAAAGCATTTGGAAGCGCCACTCGCAATCCCTCAGAATGGGAAAACTAATTTCCTAAGCCTCTGGAGTGAGTTGTGGGGAGTTTCCAATTCATTTGTGAAAAAAGTTAGCTTACTTGTTTTCCCAAACATCGCTCATCATCCTCCCCTGCAGTTCCAGCAAACAATTTTGAGCTCTTCAGTCATTAAGCTTCATTTTTAATATCAGAAAATAATTTCCACAAGCCCCGTCTCCCCCAGTGCACACAGCAAGCCAGTCTGAGCAGTCAGAAAAATGGGTGTCCCATAGAGCAACACAGCCTGCTCTAGCCAGGGCAAATTAAGCGAGTGCAAGTGATCAAGTAAAGGAATCCAGCGCATTCTGTGCCATTCAGGGAGTCTTAGGGTGTTTTTAAAGGTTATCCAGTCTGTGCACAGTCAAGGAGGACTTCCAGTGTATTTAATATGGATGATAGTGCATTTCTCAAATATGGTACTGTGTACATAAGATCTGCTGTGTTTTGGAAAAGCTAAATAACCCCAAATGTAAATGACAGTGCCTGGGTAAGTACAGCAGGATCAAACAGAGAGAGATGAAGAAGATTTAAGTATGTAGTGTGTCCTAAGCAAAACACAAAGCCTGAAAACTGAGCACAGCTACCTGAAAAGGGCCTTCAGCAAGTCCCATCGTTAATAGGGTCAGTTTCTTCACAAGCGGACAGAGGGGTTTATGCAGCAGCCAACTTTCCCTGATGGTAATTTATGACCCAATTTCATCCAGTGTTTCATGATCAATCCCGTTGAATGTTTATGAAGCAGGAAAGAAGCTCAGAATCCATGCAAGGCCTCCAGGACAGGAAGTGGGCCAGGCACCTCCACAGATTCCCATGGCCAAAGTTCTTAATTTCAGCATCAAGTAGCCGCCAAAAGAGCACTAAGATTCTGCCACCGTCTCCAGTCAAAACTACATCTAACCAACCTCCAGGGGAGAAAATACTGAGGTAGGATTTTCCCTTGTGGTCACTTCTTCACAAGCAGGGTTAACACTTGCTTCGCAGGAAATCCCTGTTTCAAACATCAAAAAACCTACATGTCTAGCCCAATCTCCAGATGAAATGCATTTCTTCTCCATGTGTCCCATGACTGCCGTTCTCTTTACAGAAACCTCACACTGGCTTGAATCCTGTTACTAATTCACCCGTTTATGAACGCTTGGAAAGTGAATTGAGGGAGTGTTCACAAGCACAGTTCTGTACTGTTAAGTTAAAGCAGCCCAGGTTAATTTCATTTTCAGTCACTTTTCAGATTCGATAACTACATCCAAAACAGAAGCATGAAACACAACCTGAATCACTTTCATTCCTACACAAAATCCTTTCTGAGAAGCAGGGACTGGGTCTGGGGCCTGGGCCAGGAAGGGACTCCTCTACCTGTGGGTCCCGAGCAAGCCACGCCCACCGGCTTCTCTGGCTAGTTTCTTTCTGGGTCTAGGGAGGGAGCTGGCCAGTGCGATATTTTAAGCCCCTCCTGCCCACACTAGGGCCTGCTTATCCCATTATGCAGACGCAAACTTGGCAGAAGCAACCTTAAACCTGTTGGTAAAATAAAGCCAAATCTGCCAACCTGAATTGTCTGAAGTGGCCAAGGCCGACTCCATGCACGCTCGGCTTTGTCCCTGAAGCTGTTACAATATTAGTTTAAGTCAGGTGCCTGGGGTCCACCAGCCAATGACCCCTAGCATCCAGCGCAGACCTTCACAGAGATCCTTACTGTCTACAAGTTAAAGTGTGTGGCAAATTAAACCCCTCCACACAATGCCAAGCTAACTGTGTTTGTAAGGGAGTTAGGGTGCCTTAAAACTCACATATCAAATGTTTCCAGAACCACTCGGTGGTTAAATCGCCCTGAAAGAAACCGAAAGGCCGAGCGATTGTGAGAAACTTTGGTTCAGGTGGCTGTAAGAGTCCTGTAAATCTGGGGCAGGGCGCACAGCCTGAAGCAGGGCACAAAAGCTCCCTTCGCCGACGCGAGGACCTCCTTTATGCGATGTGACAGCAGCTTTGTGCGCGATCATAAATAGTTGTAATAAACACAGTTAAGTTCTCCCGGCCGATCTCGGCCTCCCGCGTCCCTGCGCCGGGGCCCTGAGATCCCCGGCTCTTCTTCCCTAGCACGCGCGCCCTGGCGACCCTGGCCACTGCACGGTCCTACGCTAGCCCCAAGCTCCGTGCCAGCCGCCGGCCAGCAGGCCAAGAGCTGCCTGCACACCCGGGGGTCTCGAGTCCCCGGGCCCCGCCGCCGGGCCCCTTGCCCTGATCCCCGCCTGCGCCCTTGGCGGGCGTCCCCGCCCCTGCGCCGGCCCCCGATGGCGGGGGGTGGGGACGGGAAGGCAGGCAGGAAGGTGCCGGGCCAGGAGGAGCGGGGCAGCTCGCGGTCGGGGGTGCCCAGGCCGCGGCGGGGCCGAGAGCACCGGTGGGGCGCGGAGGGGACCCGCTCTCCCAACCCCTGCCCGGGCGCGCCCCGGCCCGAGAGCCCCGCTAAGCTCCCAACTCCGCCCAACGGCCCCAAGTTTGCGGCCCCCGCCCCGCTCCCGCCGTGCCGCGCTTACCTCGCCGTGGGCCGCCCGCGGAGCCGGAGGGCAGCGGCGCGGGTCCCGGGGCGGCGGCCGCGCTGCGCCCGCCCAAGCGCCGCTCTTTGTCTGCGCCGCTCCCTCCTCCCGCCGCCGGGCGGACGCTGCCGGCCCGGGCGGACCCCGCCGGCCCGGGCGCCGCGAGCCTCCCAGCCGCCGAGCCCTCCCCTCCGCCGGCCGCCCGCTCGGCCGCGCGGCTCTGGCCTGACGATCCCGGCGGCGGCGGCGGCGGCGGCAGCGGCGGCGGCGACCCTCCCCCGGCGCTCAGCGCCCGCCTCCTCCGCGCTCTTCCTCCTCCTCCCGCGCTCCTCCCCGGCCGCGCCGTGACGCCGCCCAGGGGCCGGCCCAGGCCCGGGCGCGCGGGGCGGGGACCCGAGACCCACCTGGGGCGCCCCCCGGCGCCACCAGGCTCCGCGTCTTGGGTCTCGGTAAGCGCTCCGGGATAGAGCAGGGCTAGGGGACGCTCCGCTCTGCAGGCGCAGCGCGGGCCGGGCGTCCGGTGCAGGAAAGGGTCCCTACGCCCGAAATTGCGCGCGGGCGGTGGGTGGGGAGGAGAGTGAAAACCCAAGTGGTAACTTCCAGCCTCGGATGACTGCCGGGTGGGCTTTGCGTGCTCTTTTTTGTTTGTTTCATGTTCTTATCACGAAGCTCTAGTTGCTGGGCAGCCGCCCCCGTCCCGGAAGCACTCCCACGGCAGTCAGCGAAGCAGGCCTGTTGTCCATCAGAAAAGTGACTTGTATAAAAATGTCACTTCCTCCCTGTAATTGCTTGTGGGCATTTTTATTTATTTGCCTTGCATCTATTTACTTTCCCAACCAGACACGTTTTTAGTCCATCATCCCGTCCGAGGCACTCCCTAAAAGAAGGAGAGGAAACTCGACCTCTGTTGCCTCGCAGGCATCCAGGCCAGCCCCAGCCAGTGGAATCCTGGTTGCACACCCGTGGGGGCAAAACCCGAAGAGGAGCTGCCCGAATGGGCCCCTAGAAGGTGGGTGGCTAATAGTGGGACCGTTCAGCCCACACAGCCTCGAGTTGTGGCTAACCTGTAAACAAACTTGGAAGATTAAAACCCAAGAGCAAGGGGAAAAACACAAGCTTCCCTTTCACAGGCACTTTCATCCGGATGTCTTTGCTCCTCCCCATGTGATTTCCCAAAGGAAATTCTAATATTCAAATAATTCTGATTTTCTGGCAGGATAGCCTGCATCCATGTTAATAAGATTCTTTCTTAGGCTCCTAATCTCTGCTTACTATTAAGGCAATAATAACTTACCCAAGATTATAAAGCAGTATTATTTGACTCACTCATCTCCTGCCTCTTCCAGAAAGGAAATACCCTAAGATAGGTAACTAGAGGCAGTGTAGCTTTGCAGTCAGACAGGTGAGTGACTATTGACTTCCTGAACTGTGTAATTTCACACAGGTGGGCCTTATCCTTTCTAAAATCTGTCAAATGGGGAGTTTTTTGTTTTTGTTTTTGTTTTTTTGAGACAGTCTTGCTCCGTTGCCAGGCTGGAGTGCAGTGGCATGATCTCGGCTCACTGTAACCTCTGCCTGCCCAGTTAAGTGATTCTGCCTCAGCCTCCGGAGTAGCTGGGACTACAGGTGCCCGATCCCATGCCCAGCGAATTTTTGTATTTTTAGTAGAGATGGGGTTTCACCATGTTGGCCAGGATGGTCTCGATCTCTTAACCTTGTGATCTGCCTGCCTAAGCCTCCCAAAATGCTGAAATTACAGGTGCGAGCCACTGCTCCCGGCCAGGAGATAATATTTACCTATCTCCTATGTGAAGTACCCTGGCAGTAGGTAGCCCTCAATAGCTCAATAAGTGGAAGGAGGCACAGTACACTGAGCAGGAATCAGATATAAGCTCAGGGAATTGGGACAGCGTTTTTTTTTTTTTTTCCTTTGTTTTGACCTTGTGAAAGAAGCTACTTCAGTTCATCCTTTTGGAAAAGCCTTGTGTTAATAATTCCTAGTTTACAATAAGGAAAGAAGAATTCTAGCCTGCCCAATTTTAAATTAGTTTTCTCAAAATAAGCATAACAATATTGACCTAGTTTTTAGCTTGTTTGCGTTGTAAACTTTCAATGAATCATGGTTCTTGAATGACTTTTCCTTCTCTGACTTTTTAGAAAGTTACCGATGTCATTCTTAATCTAAATCCAGTGGCTTTTTGTCAATATCTATGCAGTTTTCTAAAGTATGTGGCATTTCTGCTATTTCCTGAAACACCATCATCTTTTCATTCATCAAACACAGCCAGTTCTGACTCTCTTACCTTTCTAACCTGCCAGTCTCTGCCTCCCCTAGAGAGTTTGTTGTCTTCCCACCCTCTAATAGTTACATCCCCAAGGCAGATAGTGGCCCTTTATTTTTATTCTGATATACACCTTTTTATTTAAGAGAGAGAGAGTTGACTATTTTTTGTTTGCACCCTGTCTAAACTTTCATTGATTAACTCCCAGACCTGTAGCCATAGAGGGCTCCCCAGTGAATCTGCAGAGCTCCCCAGCGAATCTTCACTTCCTACACATGGCCCAGCATCTCTTCTGGGTCACCATGTTCAGAATGAAAACTCCTCTCCTTCCCTGACCAGCTCCTCCACTCACAGTTTCAGGCACCTCAGCTCCTGGGAGAAACCTCAGTGTCATCTTGGCTTTTCCTTCCCTGTCTCCAAGTTGTCCCCAAGAAAAGCCAGGAGAGGACTGAATGATACCAAGACCCCTTGCAGTCTATCCCCATGGTAGAGTACTGGTGATTCTTAAACATCTTTTTTACTACATCTTCCTTTCCATTTCCATCACTGGCATCCTAACTTATACATCATTCCTAGCAAGACTCGTAATGTACGTTGATTGAGTTCTTGACGGATGTCATCTCTAATCCACACACTATAGTATTATCCCTATTTTACAGATGAAATCACTTCAATAGTAGATCAAAGAACTGGGGTCAGAACTGCACATACCTGACTCCAAAACTCTTGTTCATTTCCCCACACCTACTGCCTTCCAACTGATCTCCCATTACTTCTTCTATCCCTCAGATTACACTGGACATCAATGTCATCCTAACCTTCCTACAAATTGCTTCCATTTTTCCCTGGTTGTGCTCAAGAACTTTCCATGACTCTCCATTGCTCACCACGGTCTCCTCAAAAGTCATCTGATGACAGAAGACTGAGCATTTTTCCCCAGGGAGGCTGGGGGATTTCGCCCTGAGAGGCCTGCTTTAGTTTCCTGGGGACTCCCTTAACAAATGACCGCAAACTAGGTGATAAAACAGAGGCTATTTTCTCAAAGTTCTAGAGTCTGAAATGAAGACACCAGCCTCTCTCTGAAGGCTGTAGAGGACACTCCCTTCCCTGCCTCTTCCAGCTTCTGATGGCTGCAGGTGTTCCTTGGCTTGTGACCTTATCACTCCCACCTCTCCTCTCTGTCTTCGCAGAACCACCCAACCTGGTTCCCTGTGTCCTCTCCCTTCTCTCTTTTCATAAAGACAAGTTATCATTGAATTTAGGGCTCACCCTAATCCAGCATGATGTCATCTTAACATTCTTATCTTACAACATCTGCAAATATCTTTTTTCCAAATAAGGTCACATCCTCAGCTTCCGGGTGAGCGTATCTTTTGGGGCCAATATCCGACCCACTGCAAGGCTCAGTATGGGGGAGACATTTCTTTGAAGCTTATGTTTTATCTGAAAATGTATAGGTTTTCCTGCATTCTCCTCCATTAATGTGTCCACATCTGTTTTGCTGTCTTCAATCACAAAGTATTGAAAGCATAAAAAACAGAGAGTGGAAGGACGCACAGTACACTTTTGCCTAAAATAGCATCAGCATTACACCTTATGATCTCTCTTCCAAAGGCCTCAAACTTAGCTCTATCATACAGTCTCCTTTTTACCTCTGTAAATAAGCTGTTTGCTTCAGTCACTCAGCTCTGCCCACAGTGCCACACTGAATCACACTAGTTTCAGCCGTCTGTGGTGTGAAGGCGGCTGGGAATTCCCTGTCCCGCTCCTTCTGTTTCAGAGCTCCATTCGAGGCCATCTCTAACCCCTCTTTGGACTCATGGGAAACACAAAGCAAAGGTTGAAGGTGCTGCCGAGTCAGACTTCAGAGGCGCAAAGCCTACCTTCAAGCCTGTGCCTTGGGGTCATTTCACCTCTCTGAGCCTCAGATAGTAATAGTACTCTTGCAAAGGGTTGCGGGAATTAAAGGAGATAAGGCAAACGTGTCTCAACTGTGTGTTCAGCACATGGTAAACACTCATGTCTGCTTCCTCATGACCTTCTCTCTTAACCTTCAATTCAATTAAGCATATCTGGCATAGTTCTATTTGTAAGGCACTATAAGATCCAGCTCAGGATTCATTCATTTGGATGATGTAGGAAGAGCGGATGTAAGGTTGCATCATTCGGAGAGGTGATAATGCAAACTGGAGTAGAGTGAATGGATGGAAAAACAGTTTCGGAGAAATGGAGAGGAAAGACCCAAAAGGAAGGATGAAACCAGCATACGAATAGCTATAATATAAAACTAAATATGAACCGTACCAAAGAAAATATGTCTAGAGAATCAGAAAAGGCTTTAGGCTTTATGAAAGCTGGTGGCATTGGCAATGACCTTGAGAGATGACATGGTGGGAAGCTGCCTTTAATTCAGCTGCTCCACATCTAGCCCCTTCCTGGTTTGAGAGAGGCCTGTCTGAACCCTGGAGGGAAGCAGAGTGGGCACCTCGGTCCCCCCGTTCCCAGAAGCCCTGTGAGAGTGAACGACCTGTGATTGGCCAGTGGAGCCCTCCCACTCAAGACTGTGAAACTGGAGAGGGTGTAAGGACAAGGGAGGGTGAGATTCAATTTGCCATTGCTGAAATAGTCCCAGCACGTCCCTCCCTCAGGAATTAGCCAGCTCCATTCTCACCCCTTCTGCTCTCCAGCTCCCCTGTGAGCTACTTGATATTCTTCTGGTAAATTCTCCTGTTCTGCTTAAGGTACCCAGAGGCACTTTCTCTTTTTGCAACCCAAACCCCTGAATAATGTAAATGGTTGGATTTTGAAAGGTGAAGATAGACAGGGAGAAAATCCCCAGTGGCGGGAGCTCAGAGGGGAACGTGGGAGGGAAATGTGGGAGGACCCTGTAGGAACAGGGAATGGCCCACTTGCCTAAATGGAGCCGAGGCTGCACAGATCAGATCGTGAGGCCAAGAAGGAAAGCAGTTAAGTGTGGACATCATCTGGGCTCAGCCCAGGAAGATTCATTCGGTGCATGCACAGTAGGACAGCTGGAGTCAGGAAGAGCAGACAAAAGTTTGCATTTCCAAGAGAGGTCATAACCCCAACTGGGGTGGAGTGCGTGGATAGGGAAGTGTTTTAGGAGAAATGGAAGGGGAGACTCAGAATGAATTGGCAGCTGCTTGGATGTGGAGGACCAAAGAGAAAGAGAATGGGGCCTAAATATAACCTGAGGCTTTGGATGTGGGGAGCTGCAAAGGTGCCGAGATCAGAAATAGGAAAGTGGGGAGGACTGGCTTGTGAGGGATGAACAGTTTTGCTCTTGTACATTTGTTAAATGTAATGAATAGTTATTGCCAGCTTACTACATGGAGGGGGCACTGCAGGAGGTACACAAATGAACAAGCCACAATTCCTGCCCTCAGGTGCCTCTGTGCTAGAAAAGTTGCTATTACTGCTATAAATACCCTGCCGGAGTAACAAGCTTATTGCTCTTTAATTGTGTCATCCATCTCAGTGTCGATATGAACGCCCTGAGGGCAGGAGCCAAGCCTGGTTTTCCTGTACAGCCCCGACCCTTCTTCTGCCTACCCAGTATAGAGAAGACACTTTGCAAATCTTTCACGATGGATGGAAATTCCACACTTATGAGTGTGTCGAAGAGGAGAGTGAGCATTAGTGAAGAGACTTAAAAAGAGGCCATCAGGAACTCACTCTGAGAATCTCAAAACAGATACTGGTGGACTTACAGAATTTTGGATTTCCTTTCACCTACATGACCACATGGGGAAGGAAAAAGTGTTAAGACAGCACAGTGATTTCATACCCAAACTACAAAGTACCTTCCCACGACCTCTTCAGACCCGAGTGGGGGCAGCTTAGAAACCCATAAAACCCATCCCTCAGTGACTGGCAAGATTAACTTTTTACAAACCACCACTACAAAGAGTTAAATTTCATACACACCCAAAAAGTCGGGTGCCCTCTATGGATGATCAATACGATTCTCCTGCTTCTAAGAATTGTGATCTGAACTTCAGGAAGTAACTGTGCTCTAATTGTATAAATAAAGGAAAAGCAGATGAAGTAACTGAATGTATGTTAGGGTACCAAAAAAACAAAGGAACATAAGTGCACTTAAACACTGGCCTATTTTTCAGTATGAGTTTTGTCAAACACTGCCTGTGGTGATCAGTGTTACACATCATAACTTTAAATTTTAACAGCTGCTTGAACTGAAAAATAAAAATCATCAAACTTTACATTGTTTTTGATTGTTAGCAGCAGGGCAGAGATAGTTTCAGATAGGAACAGTTTTAAGAGAGCTCTGTAACTTTACAAAAGCTAAGATTTTTTTGTTGTTGTTTTGAGACGGAGTTTCGCTCCTGTTACCCAGGCTGGAGTGCAATGGCGCAATCTCGGCTCACCGCAATCTCCGCCTCCTGGGTTCAGGCAATTCTCCTGCCTCAGCCTCCTGAGTAGCTGGGATTACAGGCACACGCCACCATGCCCAGCTAATTTTTTGTATTTTTAGTAGAGGTGGGGTTTCACCATGTTGACCAGGATGGTCTCGATCTGTTGACCTCGTGATCCACCCGCCTCGGCCTCCCAAAGTGCTGGGATTACAGGCGTGAGCCACCGTGCCTGGCCGAAAGCTAAGATTTTATGCAAATTTTAATTTGAAATCCGCCTTTAGGTGAACATAGTGGATGAGACGTTTCTGTTAGCTACAATAACCCTCAATTAATCAGAATGCCTCAGGAAGGAGCTGTTTTACTAAATTAAATTTTCATGTTGGTTAAGGATTAACCAGAAATTCCTTTCAGCTGGAACATAAGTTGAAATTTAAAAATATGTACACATATTTTGGGCAGATAGCTCACCTTGGAAAGCCGTAAAGTGCAGTAAATGAAATGAGTCTTTTTTGATGCTGGGTGCCTCATTTTTCTGAGCCATCTTTCTGAACGTGCATCCTCATTTTATAGTGCTAAGTGTGTAGAAGATTGGGTGAAAGAATCTGCACTAAGTCAGAGCCATGTGTTCAAATTACTTCTTAAAAAGTTAATAAAATTTACTTATTTTCCTGCATTTGCTACTTTTTTCCAACAGTGAAGTGCTGAATAGGTAGGTTACCATTGAAAGAGGGCTTCTGTTACTTACAGCCTAGTTATTCAGTGTTTACATGCATGTTTTAAAAGGGAAGACTTCTAGCTGGGCGTGGTGGCTCATGCCTGTAATCCCAACATTTTGGAAGGCCAAGATGAGCAGATCATTTGAGGTCAGGGGTCCGAGACCAGTCTGGCCAACATGATGAAACCCCATCTCTGCTAAAAATATAAAAATTAGCCGGGCATGTTGGTACATGCCTGTAATTCCAGCTACCAGGGAGGCTGAGGCAAGAGAATCACTTGAACCCAGGAGGCAGCAGAGGTTTCACCATGTTAGCAATGCAGTGGGCCGAGATCCGGCCCCTGCATTGCAGCCTGGGTGACAGAGTGAGACTTCATCTCAAAAATAAAACTAAAAAAAAAAGACTTCTAAAATATAAAGCAATTCTCAGCTAGAGCACTGGTAAGTGGGATGTTGCTTTTTTAAATCACAGTCTTCACTAGAGAACAAATAAGTTAATAGGAAGGTATGTTTTAGAGACACTGTAACATAATCTCTTTTTTAGTCTACAGTTCACTAGGCAGCTTTCTTCTGTGAATTTGTTGTAAATCCACTGGAGAGTAGGCTGCATGGAGGAATAGTCCTGTGTAGCTTCCTGCCTGTGGTCCACATTGCCTTCCCTTTCACCCTTGATGCAGTAAGCTCTCTTTCCTTGCAGTTCCTCTCATTCTCCGATCCTCTGCTGGGCCACATAGCCAAAAACGCCTTGTTTTCTAGTAATTTATGTCCATGTGATATTTTAAGATGACAAGCTGATTTGGGGCAAAATCATTTAATTTTTTTATCTTTATTATTATTATTTTTTTGGAGACAGAGTTTCATTGCGTTGCCCAGGCTGGAGTGCAGTGGTGCGATCTTGGCTCACTGCAACCTCTGCTTCCCGGGTTCAAGCAATTCTCCTGCCTCAGCCTCCTGAGTAGCTGGGATTACAGGTGCATGCCACGAAGCCTGACTAATTTTTGTATTTTTGGTAGAGATGGGGTTTCACCATGTTAGCTAGGCTGGTCTCAAACTCCTAACCTCAAGTGATCCACCTGCTTCACCTCCCAACGTCCTAGGATTATAGGCATGAGCCACCAAAATTATTTCTTTGAATTCTCCAGAGTATCTCACTGATGCCCCATACAAAGTTGGCAGTTAATGATGTTTTTTGAAGGAAAGGTGTGAGATAAAAATACACTTTTTAGAAATATTATTTTTTAAATGCAAACAGGTTTAAAAAAATATTTTTAAAAAACTTACCATTGTAAGTGTTTATTATGAACACAATAGTTTTTAGTAGCTATAATTCACTGCATGCTTACCACTGGCCAAGCACAATATCTAACCCTGACAACCCCAGTGAGGGAGGCATGAGGGCCCCCACGTTATAAGGAAACTGAGTTTAAAAAGCTTTGAAACATGTCTAAAGTCACAGAGCAGACAAATGTGTGTGATTTCTTTCTCAAGGTATCTCCTACGAATGTCTAATATTGATTTACAAAGTTTCTGAGAAATACAACCAAGAGCTGTAAATTGTGTTTATTTTAATGTCCTATTAGATCACTTTCATGTTGAGAATTCCTAACAGAGTTACTGATTTCACTTTGTTACTTTTACTCTAATTTTATTAGACACTCCCACGTCTGCACTGGGCCGGGGGCCTCAGGGTGTAGGGAGGTGTGAGGAAGGACTGACACCTTTGCCTTCAGGGATTCAGACTGGAACAGTTGCCCCTCCACAAGGCCGGCATCAGAGCCACACTGGATGGGTTATTGTTTCCCGTTACTGCTGTAGCAGTTCACCACACAATCAGGGCCTTAAACATCATAGAGTTATGATCCTTCAGTCCCGTGAGTCAGAAACTCAACCCAGCTCTCTCTCGTCTAAAATTATGACAGTGGGCTGTGTTACCTGTGGGAGCCTCTAGGGGACCATTTATTTCCTTGCCTTTTCCAGCCTCTGGAGGCCACACATGTGCTCCTTCCCAATGACCTTTTCCTCCACCTTCAAAGCTAACAGTGACGAAACTTTTCTGACCCTGCTTCCATTTCTGAGTGTCTCTCCCTGCATCCCAGAAAGGTCACCCTCCCTTCAGGACTTATGAGGGCAGAGGGCTCACCTGGACAATCCAGGGCTGTCTCTCCAACTCAAGGTTCATAGCCTTCCTCACCTCTGCAAGGTCTTATTGCCATGAAAGAGAACAGTCACAGGCTGCAGGGTTGTGAGCAGAGGCATCTTTGAGTTGTCATGATTCTGGAGCATCATTTATGGAGGAGACTTTAAATCCTGTAGGAGCATTATGGAGGGCATTGGCAGAGCCAGAATGCCACTAAGAAGGCAAGAAGGAAGAAGGGTATTCCAGCCTCTGAAACACTGGAAGAGAGAATGTGAGGAGGAAATGAGCCTGCTGTATATAAGAGAATGAGGACACGTCACTCCTCCTGTGAGCGCTTTCTGGAGCCCTTGGCCCAGATGACCATTGTGGGTTAGAGGAGGTGGGGCATTTATTTTGGCTGCCTCCATTTATGAGTCATACACCCCACCTGATATGACTTGGCTCTGTGTCCCTACCCAAATCTCATCTCTAATTGTTATCACATGTGTTGGAGGAGGAACCTGGTGGGAGGTTATTGGATCATGGGGGCAGTTCTCCCCATGCTGTTCTCATGATAGTGAGTTTTCATGAGATCTGATGGTTTAAAAGTGTGTGGCAGTTTCTCTCTCTCTTTCTCCTGCTGCCATATGAGACTCGCCCTGCTTCCGCTTTACTTTCTGCCATGTTGGTAAATTTCCTGAGGCCTCCCTACCCATGTGGGACTGTGAGTCAATTAAACCTCTTTTCTTTATAAATTACCAAGTCTCAGGTAGTTTTTTATAGCAGTGTGAAAACCAACTAATACACCATCTAAGAGGCAAGAGGAGTCGTTTAGGGAGGCTGATGGTTTCTTGAATAAGGAAGTCAGGCATTAAGAAGATATTTTGGATCCAACCACAAAATTACAGGAAACACAGGGGACAGAGAACATGTCCAACTATACTGGGAATGCAATCAGCAAAATCCAGACTGTGGGTATTTTAAAGGACAAAAGATCTGGCTTCTTCCACCAATATTGCTAAGAAAAATGAACAAAGGTGGACATTGAACCTATAAGTTAAGAGATCTAAAATACATTTTAATAACCAAAAGAAAATGAGCCATGGGGATTAGGGGTGCATGCTTGTATGCCAAAGCAGAAAGGAAAGAGAGAACTCTTGAGGGGGAAGAGATGGAGTTTTGGAGGGGCTATGGTTACAAGGGTGTTTGCTTTACAATGGTTCAATTGGTCATATATTTGCTTTCTGTGGTTTTCTGTAGGTGTGTTACATTTATTAATACAAACATGACATTTTGATGATATATTTGGGAAGATTGTCAGGTGGGGGTATGCAAGCCGATACGGAGACAGACAGAAGCTGTGAATATCACAGAATGGACCGGATGGGATTGAGGAACCCTGCCCATGGGGGTTGCACTAGAAAAAAACAGAAAGAGAGGGATGTGTGTGTGTTTCAGACGAGGTAACACTGGACAGGACAAAGTCGCTGGCTACATATTGGGGTCAAAAGAAAGGAATGTGTGTTCTGTAGTTCTACTTAATCCAGAAGAACCATCAAAAGAAACAGAGCCTGCTCTAAGCTCATGAGAGATCTGGCACCCTTGCTTTGCCTAGAGTCCCAATCTGTCTCCTTAGAGGACCATCAGCAGCTTTCTCAAATGTCCTGACCTCTGGACATAAAAACCCAAGATAAGGGCATGTATGTGAGTAGTTCATTTGGGGAGTGATGCCAAGAGAGGAATAGGAGAGCCTGGGTGGGAAGGGTAAAACATGCAAGGATAAAACCGAGAATTAGAAGAATATTCCCTCCCAGACACTGGCCCCACGATTTTCTCACTGACTCCATAGCCATGCCTTGAGACAAAAGTTTCCCTATTTTTTCCTGGATTTTTTTTTAGTTGTTCTCGTTGGAGGATTGGTCCAGAAACAATCTGGGCATCCATTTGGATGTTACAAGAAATTGCATCTTTGTTGAAACAGTCCCCATGACTCTCAAGTTTCCAAGCTAACCTGAAACTGCTCTGAATTACTAAGGAAAGGAATATTGAATGGGTGAAAGGGGGATTCTCTAACTTCTGTGGGAGGCTGCCTTGGGGTTGCTCATTTGAGATGCTCATACTGTCTTTGAGGGGCCTGTGAGGCTGATGCTAACAGTGAATCATTCTAGAAGTCAGCAACCACTTGGAGCCCCCATGTCATCTGGAGCCCTATGGTACTGCCCAGACCCCCTACCCCACCAGGCCCTCAGACTCCACCTCAACCCCATCTCAATCTATCAGGTCTCACCTGTGAGCCCACCTTTTGTAACTTCTCTTCCAAGCTAAACTCGAATATCATTTAACCCATTTATGCTGGAGGTTGCAAATGTTTTGTGTGAAAAATCAGACCTTTGCAATGACCTTGAGCAGTAGGATATAAGTAACTACCACAAGTTTAGGGTTCCAATAATGGAACACTAGGCATAAATGTGTTACTCCTAATTTCAGTAATATCCACACATTCCTAGTATGGTTTGCCTTAGGCCTCAAAACTACTCAATTTCTATGTTATTCAAAGATTGGTTCCAAGGTAAAGAGAAAACCAGCAGGTCTCACTTCAAGAAATTACTTCTCCTATCCAGTCAGTATAAGCAGAGTGGGGAAATGTGTTGCTGTTGAAAAAATTAGTCTAAAACCTGTGCTAATCTGATAAACACCAACATAATTTAAAAGTAGATACAATTGTTAAATGCAGATTATTGTAGCAGATGTCCTCGGTGCCTGCCCCACATCCTCCCTAGGGGTCACCAGCAGCTTTGTTGGACAGGGCCCCCACTTTCTTACACACTGATGGCTTCT